GGTTCTGGAGTCATCAAAATCATCATAAATTTGGCCCAGTCTTCTAAAGTTACAAGCACTGTACACAGAAAGATGTATATTATACGCACACGTGCACGACACATGCGCTTATCTCTCACTGGCCACTCTCACTTATTTTAGAATAAATATCTAATTATGTACATACTTTAATTTTAATAATGTTGTCAAGAGAACACAGAAAAGTAGGGAAAGTCTTTAAACCTGAACTGAAGATTGCCAAACCTACACAACTGAGAGTCTATAACCCCTTATTTATAGGCCTCAATTCATGATTTAGCCGCTGATTTAGGATAGTCACCCAAAGGGATGAAAGCTTGTATATATCTTTTGCTTAAAACCAGTCTTTCAGTCTGCAGATACATGTATGTCCTTTGCAATTGTTCCTATAGTTATACTTTTCTTCTTTTACCTTCACTATTTCATCTCATTTTTTTCAAATGATTTGCCCACATCTGAACCATGCACCTTCCTCAATTCACACCTTAAAGCCCCACCGCACTACTTATAGCTTCTTGCTCCCTCTATATAGCAAAAAATGCCTAAGCGGTGCCTGTTGGTCCCCCATGATCCTCTTTTTCTAATTTTAATTGAGAGCTGATTTGATGAGATAAACATCTGTCAGTGACCTTGAAGGGAGGTCTGTTCCCCTATGGCGAAACTAGTACAGACAGGCTTTAAGGAGTCTGACTTTCATTTAACTATGAACATACCATCCTAAATCAAAATAAAATATTTAGCTCCATCTTAAAAGGCAATTAGGTTAAATCAGTAAGGAAGTATCACATTTTAGTGTCGAAGTAGCATCATCACAACAAATACAGTGGCTAATGAGATAAAAGCTCAAAGCTGAACTCAGCTGAAGAGAGCTTGGTGAATTGAAAATTGTTTTTCATTCCGCAATTTATCAAGGAAATCATAATGATGAGTGTGACCTTTAGGGAGCTTTTTCCTATGTGAAAGGAAGCAAAACAACTGTAAAAATTGTTTTTAGAACTAAAATGATGGATCACTTTATGAGTATACACATTGAAAAACAAGGCATAAATTGCACTCAGTGGCAAATCTGGGTAAAAAAGGAAGTTACCAGGTATCACCCTATGTATGAAAGAAATTCTCCAAAACGCTTAACAATTTTTATTTTTTTTAAATTCAGCCCTCTTCTTCTCTTATTTCCCTTTCTTTTTTTTTGTTGGGGGGGGTCTTAACACCTGGGTGGAGAGTACTCCACACGGGGTTAAATGGTTCTTATGTGTCATAAGAAATCAAAACATGCAAGCATTCTCTACCTCCACAAGTTATTCAAAAATACAGATTACATAATAAATATTGAGGGTTACCATACATATAAATATCAAGATATATCGTCCTTGTTTTCACGAAGTGACGGTAGTGAGGAAAATCGTAACGCAAAGTGAATGCAAATTTTTTTCACTACCGTCACTTCGTGAAAACAGCGACGATATTTGCATTTTTAAATTTGACATATATCGTACCATGCAAAATTTCATTGTCACAGTAAGCTGAGCAAATATGAAGAGAAAAACAGCCTTCATGGATAATATAATATTGAAGAACAGACGTATACAAAGAAGACAAATGATCTGCTCTGAAGTGAGAAAGAGTAAATTACTGGTAGGTGGCTTTGGAAAGGTGGCTTTGGAAAGGTCTGAAAACAAGTATAAAATAATCACCTGAGTACGCTCTGTACTTTTTTTAGCTAGAGTAAAAATTTGTGCTAATGGACCAAGTGTTTGAAACTTATTATTTTATAAAAATTTAAATAATAAATACAAGCAAATTTGAAGTAATGTGCTCAGAAAGCATTGAAATATATTAATCTGTACATGTACTATTGGGCTTGTAATGATCACTCATATCACATTATCATGATTTTAATACTTTTATAGATCTATATAAGCTATCTAATCAACGAAGTGTCAGGTTGACATTTTTTCCCTCCCAAGTGAGTTTGGGAAACCCACTCCGCAAAAATGCAGTAATTACTTTTTCCCCTACTTATTTAGAAAACACATTCAATCAACAGTTATTTTTTCCCTTCATTTATTTTGATTCAATTCACTATTGATACTACAGATTGATTTTGGATTTTGCATCCTAGCCCAGTCAACACCAAATCCCCCCATCCCCCCCCCCCCAAAAAAAAAGAGGGAAAATAGTTAGAGAACACCATAACACAGCAGAAGTGACTTGAAAGTTGAAAGTGTGAATAGGAAGCCCTTCAGTTCAATTCTGAGATTTAAAAAAACTTAGTCATTAGTGAAAGTAAAAAAAGGGTATAGCCACTAGCCAGTCTGTAAATGCAAATGAATTGTAAGCCTCCATTTAGAAGAGATGAAGCAATTTGGAAAGATAAATGTAAGTTTGCTCCCGACTGTTATCATTCATATATAGACCACTTTTAGACAAGGGCAGAGAAATTAGCATTAGACAGATAAAAGAGATGATAGAGGCAACCAATGCATGCACATTTTCTCATCTACTCTTGAAGGGATTGCAGCGAGAATAGCAAAGAAAAATAAGGTCATCCCGAAAGAAAAGTAGAATGCTTGCATTCAGAACATCTTTTGCAAACAAAATTTGTACTTATATCTGTTCTTCTTCTGTAATTCTTTTCAATTACAAGTTAGAAGCAAACATTTGCAACTGAAAACTATTTGAACAGTATGTTACAGAATGTCTACCAGTGTCATTCAAATCATTTAGGTTCATTCCACATAAACTTACCTTCTGAGGACATTTTGTGAAGGCAATATTCAAAAAAATAAAGTAAATTTTATATTCATTTGGTGAAATATAAAGACTTCTTACAAGGACATACTGCAGCATCTTATAAAGGCTATTGTACAGTTTTTTTAGGGGGAACAATTTATCAAAATGCAACGTAAACACAGTGATATTGTGTATGCGCATAGTAGAAGACCTTAGTTTGGCCTCAGTCTTTAGAATCCATTGAATAGTCAATGACAGACAGGCAGTATAAAGCACATCTTTAATTATGTCAGATGCTATTCAGAGTACCTAGCTTTTGAGGAATATATCCATTATAAACATCGATGTATCAGTTCAGTTTGGAATGCGCAAGCCTTCTCAGGTATATGGGAATTGACTGTAATATTCCCAGTGCTCCAACTACTCAGGTTTCAATGTAGAGAGCAAAATGGATTGTCAGGTATACACCTAAGCCCAGGTGAGCACTCACAGGCCCTGTTCATATACAAAAAATCTTTGCGAAAATTTAACTTCGCGAAAACGTTGTTACCTTCTCAACAGTCTAATACATGTATACAACCACATTTTTCCCCCTTCTTCTTTCTTAGAATGTCTGGTGTGCTTGTATGTCATTTGAATTAGAATATTCATTGCTCTGGAAAGTATTAACTCAATAGAAACATGAAGTTTGCTTCATTACAGCATTTACTAAAACATAGTTTCTATAAGTATATTCTGGATCATAATTAATGAATAACAATATAATTCCTATGTGCAAAGAAACTATCGCATTCCTATTGTGAAGAAGGCCTTCTTCTTTGAAAGGCCCTCCTCTGAAAAGTGAAATCTGTAACTTTATTTTCTAGTGTGATGATGATGGTGGTGGTGGTGGTGCATGGATGTGAGTGGTACCAAACTGACAACAAATGAAGACAGACAGGTGCATTGATCAAGAGATCTAGCGCTGGAAGCAGAAATGGAATAGTATCATTTCTCCTCCCCTATCTTCCTTTGGCATGTTGTTCAACCCGGCTTTACCACAGATGCATTTACATTAAATGTGATTGACAAAATAGTATCACCCCCTCCTTATGTTACTGCTTAGGTAGGCATAAAATAAACATTAGTTTGTAGGCTTGGGAAAGGGCACATTCAACATCAAAATAATCTCCTTCAACTCAAGCACATTTTGTTGTTCCATCTGAACAGATCGGAATGCGGGATTGGAATAAAATGTAAAAGATGAGGAGCCTCATAAAATATGAATTTGTCTTGAACTCCTCTTTTACAGGGAAAGAAAAATGTCTGTCATAGCAGCTTTATCAAGTTCAATGATTAAAAATAATCATAATGCAAGGAATACAACAGTTGCATAAATTATGTTACCCCAAGGAGCCTCACCAGATACCATGCCAAACATGGCCTGGGTTAAAGCCAGTTGAAGCATGAATTACATGAACATCTGGGGAGGGGGGAGGGGGGGCCTTCAACAAAGATCCTAAGTTGGACTTGACAATTATGGAAAGCCATACGTTAGCATCTTTGAAAATGTTTTGTAAAAGTTATTTTAAAAGGCATAAAATGTAGATTCAAATCATTCATATTTTCTATTATCAAGGAGATTTCATGTTCCTGATGTGGAATTTATGAAAAGTCTAAAATACTTCAATTTTTGCTTTTGGATATACTTTATTTTAAGGCTACAAATGGCTCTCCATAATGTTTAAGTTCAACTTAGAGTTAAGTTTGACTAAGGATCTTTGTGAAACACCCCCCAGATCACATCAAACAAAGTTCATGTGACCAGAGTGTTGAGTCATGGGACAAAACTTTCCCAGGAACATTATTCCTGAGTTTTATGAGTTTTGTTTATGATTGATAGTGTGACAATTGTATGCATGTTTGTCTCGTAAGTCATAACTAAACAATCATTCCGTAAATGATGTATTTGGCACCAACATCAAAAGGACAGGTTGTATAATAAGCACTGTTTATCTGAAATTTAGATCCCAAAACATTCATATTCATACAATGGCTCTGCGTTGCTGGGGGACAATGGTCTGGGGAGTCTGGGACAGAGCCGCTATGAAATATGATTTTTTTTTTTCTTCCCCATCTTAAACATCTACAGAAAAGTATGGGTAAATGGTTATTCATTTATGTAAAGTCGCCATGGTATCAAGCTTTGTAGCCAGATGGAAATTCATGATAAAAATCTGACTGAACCAAAAAACGTCACAGCTTCTTACCTCTGGCTAGTTTCCTGGTGAAATCCACACTCTCGATCAGGAAATCCATGCCTGTCTTGGAGTTCATGACGGCCTTGATGCACCCGACGATCTCCACCTGGAGGTAGGCGTCCGTGAAGCTCATCCCGCGGTCCGAGAGCCGCTCTACCACATCCAGGAGCACTCCAAGACCGTCCAGCTCCAGGAACCCCTCCAGCCATTCCGTGGAGCTGGCCTTGATCCGCTTCTTCAGTCCAGAGTAGTTGTTGATGGAGGGGATCCTCATGAGCTGGATGCACAGCTCCGGTTCGCTGTTCTCCAGAGAGGCTCCAGGACCGTCCTCTCCTCCGCTGCTTCCGCCCCCATCCTCGGACCCAGAGCTCTTCGCTGTCTGGATCTTCCCGAGGCTCTTCCTCGCAATACCCGACCACTTCTTCAACATGATCGTACTCCCTCAAGTGCGCTCTTTTTCATCAACACAAATTTCCATGCACTTCCATTGAAAACTGTTATTTCTGAAACTTGTTCCCATCTGAATATTTCCAACTTGATTATGTTCCTTGATTCATTGATGTAATTTTCTTGACGATTTTGGTTGCTTCGCAAGCTGTCATCTAATACTGGCCTTCTAGAACATCCAAAGGTTTACTGAGTTGATCTGCAATGAGACAAAAAAAAGATGACAACAAAATTGAATTTGCCTGCTTATTCTGATTCATACACAAAGTAACTTTAAGGATATGCCAAAATTTGCATAGATTAGAAACAAAGTGACTAAAGTTATAAAACAAAGGTGCTTGCGGCATGTCCGTAGATGCTGGGCCAATTAACATTGTTGTACATGTTCTTTATTTTAACAAATATGAAACAATGAAAAAGTAAGAGTCAATGCAAATCAATATTTTGTAAACCTAGTTATAATGAATCAAATCCAGCTTCAAGAAAAGTTACAATAAACTATATATTTTTAAATCCAGCAACTTATTTTCTTCATTTGAATACATTATCCACTCTCTCTCTCTCTCTCTCTCTCTCTCTCTCTCTCTTTATTTCTTTCTTTCTTTCTTTCTTTCTCTCTCTCTCTCTCTCTGAGATTGATTGGACACCTGTGACCATGACAAGACTGAGAACAAGTGATATTTTTTGACAAGCAGTTTAAAGAGGATTGAAGAGACTACAAGCTAATGAGTTTGGAGGCTACTTATCAGATAAATTGCAGAAGAGCCTTGGTCTAAATGATCTTTAAATTACACTTTGAATGGCTATGATAGTTTGAGGCTATAATAATAATAATTATTATTATACAGCCCACCTGATTATTATCCTTGCTTATATAGCACCTAACACTTACTTTATCAAAAGTCTCTAAGCGCTCTACAATAAGGCAGCATAATAACTACTACGATTTTTACATTTACAGTACAAACAGTGATGTAACTTTCACTAAATATTTTGGTAGAAGCATTTTTTGTGTACATGTACATAAAACCCAGTAGGCCTACTAAGTTGACCTAATTAAAACTGTAAACTTTCACAAGCATGAAATATTCCGGGGAAATATTCTTGAATTTTGTGAGTGGTTCAGATTGACAAAAGTTTCATGCCACAAAATAAACAACGACAACTGATTTCACACTGATTTTTTGCAATTTGCAAAAGTTCTTTTGCCATGAAAATTCTGTTATTCCATGAATTACAAATGTACATTTCTTGTTTACAGAACATAGAAGTAAAGAAAAATTGATAGAAGTATCAATTTCTTGTCTTTTTTAGTTGTGTGATCCAGGGAGTCTCCGATTTAGCTTCAATGTTCTTGTAAATTTGTCAGTTACTTTCAGATCAAATTATATAGTTTCCCAGCAACATTTTCCCTGCTGATTGGCCAAGTGTAAATACATCCAGGGATACACATACAGACAATCATGTTTATAATTAGAGATTATTCGATTACACACAAAGTTGAGATTATTTATAACGATGATTCACCTTTCAACCATAGCATAGGTGTACATGAAGGCTAAATTAATGTTGCTGTTTTGCTGGAAGTAAGGGATTTTAATGACAGATTAGCTTCGTTACTCCCCCCCACTGCTTCATATTTGAATCCCCATAAATACTCATTTTTAAAGATAAATACCATTCCATCTATATCATTTAGTTAATGAACCATATATCCTAGATCTTGTCTGTTGACGACCAAAAAGGATGACAACCCAAAACGATTAAATAATTGCATTTTATTTCCTTCTGGCTCTCAGTTGAAAAATGATATATATAAGGCAATATGTGATGGATCAAAGTTGGCAATCAGAAATCAATTCATCAAGTTATAACTCCCTTTTGACTTTCAACTCTAAAATGATGGGAATATGGCAATGTGTATTGATTTCAAGTTGACAGTCTAATTTAGGCCCTTTTGTCTCTAACATGAAACATGATGTGAGGTAATGTAAGATTAATCCAAATCAAAATTAACAATCAGAAATCAAGCATCCTAGTTTCATGGATGCTTTTATATTCCCTAAACCATTTTCACCTTTAAAATAAAATGTTATGTTCACCTTCAACTCATGGTTGATGACGGAAAACAAGCACAAAAGGGTGTCGCATACAAACATTTACTAGCCAAATCAAGTATATCTGCAAATATCAAATGTCAATGTCAAAGACAATGTGATTGCCATCTTGAAGTGAATTGTTCACAGTTAGGCTACAAACATATCATGTAGTCATCCGGTTGAGTGTTTATTTTTGAATGGGGTCTATTAATCAACTGAAGCAGCTTCATGCCTGCTCGCTTGTCAATCAAGCAGAACATGATCTGATCAAAGCCATGGTTTTTTTGTGTTTTTTTGCTTTAATTATCTGACTGGAGAAAGAAGTTATAATGCTCATTTTTTGTTGTTGATTGAATTTATTTCCACATTTGCATTAAAAATACAGAAACACAGTTATATACAAAAGTAAAGAAACATCAAACAGTATTTTGTACTGTTGTATGACATTCTGCCTATAATCCTAGTTTTTAAAACATGAATCATTGTCTCTTACGCATTTCCCCATCTCTAGACTGGATGTAATCAAACTCTCCATTTTATTTCCTAACGTCTACTTAATTTCCTAAAGCAACTGAGGTATTTCTTAAGACAAACATCATCTGTTATGATGAAAGACACATGTAACACTTCCACAAAATCATAGAATATTCATCTTGACAATTCTGAGTCAACACCTCTAAACAAGTGATAAGGACCAAGAAATATCCAGCTCAAATCTCAATTATGTCATAACATTACAACCCTTACGTATTTCCCCATCTCTAGACTGTAGTCAAACTCATCATTATTTTCTCTGAAACTATATCACAAAACTTTAATTATTTCCTGCCTTACGTCTATTTTATTTCCTAAAGGAACTGAGGTAGTACTTAAGACAAACATCATCTATCATGATAAAATTCACAAGCACATGTACAGTGTAACACCTACACAAAATAATAGAATAACTCATCTTTCCTCTATCTTGACAATTCTGAGTCAACACCTCTAAACAAGTGTTAGGACCAAGAAATATCCGGTTCAAATCTCAATTATGTCATAATATTACAACCCACAAGTATTTCCTTTCAAAAACTACTGAGATATCATAACCTCACAAACACCTTGTGTAGTTTGGACAGGAAATCCAACATAATAAAGTGCCGTCCTGTATTTGAGGGTCACTATGGTTCAGTGTCATAACTGTCAAAACCTATCTCTATCATAATCAATATTAATGTTTATCAGAAATAGTTATGTTTTATATTCCTTAAATGATAATCAAGACAGTCTCTAATTTAAAATTTAAAAAAAAACAGAAGAAGAATAAAGATATGGAATAGTAGTGCAAATTTGGAGACAATATTTTTTGTAAGTGTTTAAAAAAAAAATGTTTATGATGTCTGGCAAACACTTAGCAGATGCTCAATAGATGTATGTGACAGAACAAAATGAAGCTTTCTAGCTTTTACACTTAATGGGCTTAATAAAGTAGCCATGCATCAACAACTGATTTTAATATAACTACAATATGTATGTAACTTTATGCCCCAATTTAAATAATATTTTGCTTTGAATCAATCATTCGCTAATTTAACACATGATTATGTTATATTCAAACTGAAAATGTGATAGCTACTTATATTCAAACTGAAAATGTGATAGCTACTTATATTCAAACTGAAAATGTGATAGCTACTTAAAGTTAAATAGTATATATTATGATAACAAATGCATAAGTATTTGTCATTTTCTATGCAATTTACACTTCATTGTTCAAATGTGTCATAGGCATTCAATATCATTTATCGCATCTTGATATTAATATATACAATTTGTCCATTTATCATCACTTTTTTAAAATTTAACATGCATGTGCAATATTACTAATAAATGCCTCAAGTTTTTAATTTATTGAAGTAAACTTCCATTATGGAGAAATTCTGCACTTAGTTGAGTGAGAAACAAACTAACAACAACAGGATCATGCAAGTATGCCCAATATTTACAATACACACTTGACTTACCAGACACGTGAGTGTATGTTAAGCCGGAAACACATCAAAGTAAATCCTGTCTCAGTCAACAATGTCAATTCAACTGTGGCAGGTTCACATATGTACACGGACAAACACAAATAACACAGACTTATTCAAAATGTCACTCTTTAAGTTTTTATCTCCCCGGGAAGCAAACAGGTACTCGATCTTGCCCATGACAGAAAAAAAAATGTCATGGAATAGATAAACATTCCAAAACATTATTCTTCTTTTTGTGGTTGCTTAAGTTTGCTTGTGAAAATAGCAAAGATTCAGTCTACTGATCAGATCAAGGATGTTTTTTGTTTCTGTTTAGATTTCTGCAGCATATCAGCCTACATGTTTTTGTTTTTTTTAATAATTTTATCACACTATAAGATAACATGATATAACATATAGTCATCTGTATATGTATCACAATGACCTTTATTAGTTCATACACAAGTTCATAGCTTTATGTGAGCTCACAATGAATTGTAAACAAATATACAGTGTTCATGAAAATGAATATTCAACATTTTGAAACAAACACAGAAAGAGAGTAAAGAAACCTTGAAACTTGAGCAATGAATTCAACACTTCAATACCTGTTTTTTTAAAACATTTTAATAGTTTATACATCAGTCACACCCAACTGGCATTGGATCTCCTAACCAAAGGCGCACTAACACCTGCCTAAAGGAACGGATGAAACAGGCGACAGATGACAGACACATGCTACACGGATACTTACAACCCCACAAACGACTTATATCCCGACACAGCTTCCTCGATTCTGTCCCACCACCTGAACAGAATCCTCCACCATCAGTCAAGCCCGTACTCATCAAAGGTCTTAACCTGAAGTGGCCGGAGTGGCAATGCCTAAATCGAATGCGGACGAGAATGGGACGGTGTAAGGTCAATATGGCAAGATGGGGCTATGCCCATGAAGGAGATACTCTCTGCGACTGCGGAGAGACTCAGACGATGGACCACCTCTTGCAGTGCGGCGGAACGGGTTGCACAGATGAAGACCTGTCCCTTGTTAATGAAACGGCCATTGCAGCAATCGAGCGATGGAAGAACTTAATTTAATT